CCAGCTAGCATCAGTGTGACACGGTAGAGTGGGCGAGGTCCNCTGAGGCAAACTCGTCCACTCAGAGGACTTCTGTGGCCGGGCAAAGGGTTGCCCAGCTAGCATCAGTGTGACACGGTAGAGTGGGCGAGGTCCACCAGGAGTATCTTATGCCAAACGTCACCAGCCACTATTTCAGGCTGGAAATTAAGCCTCACGGCCTAATCACCCATGCAAATTGAATTTACACTCGTCCTGGAGGGTTTTTAACTCTCTCAGTAGGCTTTCTCCTACCGAGTATTTCGACTCGGGAGTGTTTCAGAGCTAATTGCGAATCAGCCGGGAATCCTCAGAGCCTGGGACACCGAGAGGCTGATCCGACCAAAGTGGAACACTGTTACCCACTTCACGACCACCCACACTCTCGGCCACCAGTTACCGCTTCGGTCATCGCACGTCACCGTCTCCGGGTACTCGAATGTCGGCACATGGTCGGGTCGACAGGAGGACGATCTCTACTCCAGACCCACGGGCCCATGCGCTCGTCATTTGTTTCGCCGAGCCAGGGGCATCCCCCTACGTTCGCTACCATCAGTTATGCACCTGGTTGCGCTGAACTATTCGCCCACTACTCCCTTGGCCATCTTTCAAGCCAATACCACANTCTTTCAAGCCAACACCACAGTATATCTCGGAGAAATCCTTTCGACTTCCCCGCTCGAGCGTCCGCGTTCGACTAACTCAGAATCTTACTAGGGCCTTCTCCCCCTAGTCTGGATATCTCAGCGACGATAGGTCATTCCGTTACCCTATCCCCACCAATCAACCCGACGGGATCCCGGGGGCACCAGTCCTCTCACCTGGCCGTTGGTCCCTAGTCTACTCTGACATAGCCTATGGAATCGCCCAGTTGGACAGCCTGTACGTCCGCCCCTTTTCCCATAGCACATGCTGGGCGAATTCCAAAATAGCGATAGTCTAGTAACGTCCTCCAGACCTCCAGGGGTCGCGGTTTCACCCATAACCGCTATGCGTTACGTCTTTCATCGGTTTGTCGCTCAGTTCATTTAGTCCCGGCTTTCCTCAGCCGCCTCTAGATGTCACTAATTGTCTCTCTTCACTAAGTTAAGAGTTCACATATCTTTTTAAGGGGATTTCAACCCGTAACGAGCAAATCTCGTTACAAGGCATATGCAATGATTTTGTCTCTTGACTCGACGGAGCTTCCATTGGATCTCAATCGAGACGAAGCACCAAATTTTTAATTGCCTTTATTCGCGAGCGCCTAATGTTTCCAAACATGTCCACCATTCTCAGGCTGTGTGGAGACATGCCCAATGACTTTGTCTCTTGACTCGACTGAGCTTCCATCTGATCTCGATCGAGAAACGAACCACTAAATTTTTAATTGCCTTCATTTGCGAGCGCCTAATGTCTCCAAGCATGTCCACCACTCCAAGACTGCTCGAAACATGCCCAATGACTGTGTCTCTTGACTCGACGGTGCTTCTATTATATCCCGGTTGAGAGATGGAGCACCAAATTTCAAAGTGTTTCCATTCAAGAGCGCCTAATGTCTCCAAGCATGTCTACCATTCCGAGACTGCTGGCGACTTGTCCAATGAATTTGTCTCCTAACTCGACTGAGCTTCCATTGAATCTCAGCCGAGAGACGGAGCATCAAAATTTAAATTGTCTCCATTCAAGAGCGCCTAATGTATCCAAACATGTCCACCATTCCGAGACTGACCCTGACATTCCCAATGACTTTGTCTCTTGACTCGACTGACCTTCCATTGGATCTCGATCGAGAAACAAAGCACTAAATTTTTAATTGCCTCCATTTGCGAGCGCCTAATATCTCCAAGTATGTCCACCATTCCGAGACTGCTACCGGCAATCCCGATGACTTTGTCTCTTGACTCGACTGTGCTTCCATTGGATCCCGGTTGAGAGACGGAGCACCAAAATTTAAATTGTCTTCATTCAAAGGCGCCTAATGTCTCCAAGCATGTCCACCACTCCAAGATTACTAGAGGCATGTCCAATGACTTTGTCTCTTGACTCGACGGTACTTCCATTGAATCTCGGTCGAGAAACGGAGCACAAAAATTTCGATTGTCTCCATTCAAGAGTGCCTAATAAGTCCAAGCATGTCCATCATTCCGAGACTACTGGAGAAATGTCTAATGACCCTGTCTCTTGACTCGATTGATCCCCTGGACAAGTTGGCCGGGGGTCGAGCACCAAAATTTTGTTTTGTCATATTGAATAGCACCTGATTCGGGGAATTCGCCATACCCATATGCCTATGTCCCCTACCCTTTTTTCATCCACGTTGTTTCCTTGCAAACGCTTCCATTCTTGTTTAAAAAAAATTTTTTTCCGCAGTTTTCTATCCAATATCTATTCAATATCCCCCAGATGTGATTTTTTCATCGCTTTCTTCCCCACTTTTCGTGCTAACTTGATGCTCAAACTGAAAAAACCCAATTTTGAGAAATCCTAAAAAAGCATCAAAAAAACAAAATTGGCCCTAAAAAAGCGCCTAATTTTGCGCAAATTTTGGATCAGATTTGAGCACCTAGGACTGCCAACTTGACGGACCTCATGTGACTCCTACATAATCCATATGTGACCCTTACATTACTCCCACATGATCCGCACATGATCCTCACATGATTCCCATATGATCCCCATATGACCCCCACATAATCCCCATATGACCCCCACATGACCTCCATATGTCCTTCACGTGACCCGTATATGATCCTTATATGACCCCCATATGACTCTTTTGTCATGTGTGTAACCCGGAAAAATATCCTTACAAACTATACTCGTTTAGAAAAAATGCAATTATCCGCTAGTTTTTCTATGTACGGGATCGAAGGCACGCTCCGCGCTCCTATCATTATGATTGATTTTATATAATTCATCACGTTAATATTGTAAGTTCGTTTGAATCAATATGGTATTTCACGAGTATAAATTTCGATAGTAATACTAAGGAGGAATTCGCGGGAAAGATGAAAACTTCTTTTGAAAATCCATGAATTTTTTTTATTGAAAACGGGTGGAAATTTCCATCGAAAATCGGTCGGAGATGCGTCGAAATCCATGAAAACTTCAATTGAGGAACAACACATGTTCTGTTGGAAATGATGTTGGTATCGAAGATCAGAAAATAATTCCATGTTAATTATACGGGCGTTATCGATGGAAAACCATGAATATCTGAGGTACTAAATACCATCAAGTTGGTTGCATTTATAGACATATAAATAATAAATATATATACCATTTAATCAAAGATATAACTCTTTGTAGACATAATTTTTAAGTTTAACGTTTTGTCGTTGTTGTCTTGTGAAAAATTTCAATGGATCTCATGATCGAACTCTCGAAAAAGCTACATATAATTGTCCGTGATTGGAAACATCCCTTTGTAGATCTACAGCAACATTACCAATATAAATATCGTCAACATCATCAACAAAATCAGTATCACCATCATCATGCATGCGATTTCCCGTTCATTCAGGAATAAATGTGTGAAATCTCCTATTTATATAAGAATTTTCACAGGCTGGAAGTGAAATTTATCAATAATTGGTATAACCATTTTGACCGTAGAAATCATTTTCATATTGTTGAATAATGGATTATCCTTATTGCTCCAGAAATTGATTGATGAAAAAAAATGTAGACGATTTTTTTCAAACTTTGTTTCCCAATGGAAGCTTCGTTTTCTTTCTGCAATGGTAAGGGATATCGACTTGAAAATTTGTGTGGAAAATGCCTTTCCAAGCAATCCGCTCCTATCAAGATCCAGCGAGGAGTTCCCCACCCCCCTCAATATCAGCACCATCATCAATCATCTACATCATCAACATCATTAACATCACCAACATCATCAGAACAATCAACAAAATCAAAACCATCAACACCGCCAACATCAGCACCAGCATCCCCAATATTACCATCACTGACACCAACATCATCTACATCATCAACATCACCAACATCATCACCGCCTCCAGTAATACCGACATCATCAAAAAAATCGATATCATCATCATCATGACGGCGATTTCTCTTTCAGAACATTCAGGAATGAAAGTGTGACATTTCTTTTTCATATAAAAGAAGACAATCCGTTCAATGCGAAAATTTATCAAGATTCAGCGAGAACTTTCCTCCAACCAATATCAGCACCAACATCTTTAACATCACTAACATCAACAACATCATTAGAATCATCAGAAACATCAAAACCGTCAGCCCCGTCAGTATCATCTACATCATCAACATCACCAACATCATTAGCGCACCTTCAGTAACGTCAACATCATCAACAAAATCAATGTCATCATCATCATGACGGTGATTGCTCTTTCAGAATATTCGGAAATAAAAGTGTGACTTCTCCTTTTTATATAAGATTATTTTATATTATTCATTTTTATAATGCATTTATGAGTGCATGTAATTTAATACATTTGAAATTTGAATGAAGAAAAAGAAGTTTCTCAGGAGTAAATGAGGTGATAGATCAGCGTAGGTGAGAGCACGCGCGTCCGCTGTAGGACTCTTAATTTGAAATTTCTATTCACATAAAGTGATCAAAGTTAAATTGAGACGTGAACAACAATTGTAATAAAAAATAATAATCACCAAATGGGGTCTTGAAAAATAATTTCACGAAGATATTCTGATGAAACCATTTAAATGTCCACCATAACACATGGGAGTAACACATCTGCAGACACGAGTTCATTATCACAGGCTCCCTGTCACCTGCTTGTTTATTCAAATGAAGAAGAAGTATAGAAACATTGGCGCGTTGAAATTTACTGGAGGCAAATTAATTGTACTTATCTAGCAAACCCTCTTCTACATATTATTGACGCATTTCATTAACGGAAATCACATGAAATGATGAAAATATCGCAATCAATCACCAGAGAGGGGCCCACTATTTATTTTATAAAATAAAATTCTATGAATAATCAACTCACCTTGGCTTTCGTGGCTTTGTCCAGCGTGTGACCACTAAATCTGATCGTGCTTTCAGTAGCGGTCATTTCTAGCACCCCTGTAACAGGTTGAATAACATAAATCTAAGAGTATGAATAAATGGAAAATTTATATCCTATAGATATAATCTGTATCGATTAATTCGAAAGGAGGAGGATATGTTTCAGATAAACGTAACATAATTGAGGAAATTGTTACGTATTATAATCGAATGAAAGTAATTCGAAAATACATGTTTTTAGTTGCCAAACTGCATTTTGGCATGAAAATCGATTGCCAAGCTGTGACAAAAATTGTAGGTAAATTAGGGTACCTACCCTCGGGGTTAGGGTGAAAAAAATTGAAAATTTCCCTAAAAAAGAGTTTTTCCAAAATAACTCGAAAAGGTCTCGAGATATGATGTAATACATGGTAAACAAAATTGTAGAGCGCAAAAGTCTCTGCAAAAAAGGTCTTGACCACTTCACTCCTATTCCGTACTGTTCATCCCCCAGAGCCATTCACACACATGGGGTGAGAAAAAATCTTTGACAAAATGAAAATTTTTTTTTCTCATTTTTCCGTCCTGTTGATAGTTGATAATGGTTCCAGTGTCGACTGTCGACTCCAACTTAGGTACCAAGTTGAACGCGATTTTCTATTTCTACCCCTCGAGGTAGCCTCTATCGGAGAACCCCTGGTGCGAGAGAGAACTATCTGCTGTAATGAACATGTGGGGATGTTCCTTAGGACACGATACTGCCATCAAAACAACTAACCCCCCCGTGACATAGGAAGGCGACCCGTGAGTAAAAGGTAGCGAGAGAGAGCGTTTCACTTTTCCACCCCGGGGTGGTCAGAAGTCCAATCCTCGTGACGACCATGAGGTTTGGGGGTTTCCACGCCATGGTATGGCTAAATTTGTGTCTTAATTCCATAGTATTTTGTTTAATCTCAAGACCGGCATAATCACGCGTTTTTGAGGGCCCATGGAATTATCGCGAAGAAGGGCCAAGTTATGAGTCATCCGATAATTTTTATGGGAGCCACCCTATTGTTAATCCTACGGCAAATCGATTAGGTCCGGCTGAAATGCCGGCGCTCCAAATTATAATGGATTTTACGGTGGTTAGATGGTTACGTTTTAGATTTTCGGTGGAAGGTCACGAGGAACAAGTGCAACCCTTTTATCCCGTGAATTGCCAGGTTGCTTAGAGTTTTGAAAAATTAGGAGAATTAGTAGTATCGGTCTTTTAACCCCGTGAATCCAGGAGAACCGACCCGTAGGAGGCGCCAAAAACCCTTAGTAATTTTCCGAACGCCCACCAGTTCGGCCCAGGTAATCATTAGTCAATTTTATAAAGTTACGTCTAAAGAAATTAGAATTGAGTATTTGTCGCAGTTGAATTCCCCAAAAGCCTTTGGTGGCGCCAACAAAGCCAACGCTTGATGTGCCGAAAATCTGCGCCAATCAGAGCTCGTCTCTGTTGGCCAGAATTCGCGCTGCGGTTAGTGCCCGTGACACTGACCTAGGGCAGTTAGTTCCGCGTTGACCGCCGTCGATCATGAGTCACGTGCGAAATTTTGAGTGTGTCCACGCAACGTAATTGTGCCACGTGGATTATTATACCTTTTGGAGGGGCCGTACCGATCCAGGATGGTCCGAAAAGGGAAGAGGACCTCTAAACACAGGAAGATAGTGAGTTTTTAGTTCGGTTTATGTATTTTTCCGAATTCATTTCGGCTTTTAGTTATTCGACTACGGGGTTTTCAGCCCCATACGTCGCATTTTATTCCGTTAAAACGGTGACCGTGACGCTTAATCCAAATTGTGAGGTGCCGATTCCCCCTTTTTTTTCACTCATGATTGGGTGGTTTTCGTGATTTTTGGTGGGTTATTCAAGGGGATAATTACTCACGTTTAATTGCTAGAGCGCGTCCATTCCCGTTATACGTGGGCTTTTGCGCGTACGAAATTCCACTCGTGTTTGAATTGAGTTGGTTCGCGTAGATAGTTAATTAAAATTAAGGTTTGTGGATCAACGTGTTCGGGGGGCTTCCCTGAGTAATTCATCTCAGGGTTTCCGAAAATTCGCTCTGCCGATTTCCGGATATTCCATTTTTGGTTTTTATGGATTTCCAGCCCATTCTCGCTGGCGTGTACACCGTGTTTCTCGAGGGAGAATTCCCCCCGACTTCGACTCCCTCTCAGATACTCATCCATGTTTATACGTAGCTATTCTCGCTTCACGCGAGCCTTTTAGCGTTTAGAATTCCGCTCGGGGATTAATGAACCTGGGGCGGCTAATTGTTTAGGGAAAATTATTTTTTTGGTATTGTTGTCTTCGGTAGACTCTCCCGCACATTTTGTCTCAGGGTTCGTAATTTTTGACTCTGCCATTTTCGAGTTATGGCAAGTTGAGTTTTACGGAATTTCAGCCGTTTTGGCTGGTACGAAAAATCGATGGATGAATACGTTCTCCTCTCTCTCGCTCCCATTGTCGCTCGCATACCTTTCCCCCCAATTCTCGGAATTCTCGAGTATTTAGGGATTAGCGTGTATTTCTACTCTCCCCAAATGTTTATTTCGGCATATTTGAGGTATTTATCGGTGATATTAATTTCTTGGAATATTTTTGTCAGATTAGACTAATTCCTATCAGAGTGCGGAATTAATATTATGATTATTATTATTATCAGTATTGTTAGTTATTAATTGTAGATTTTTTCCTTTTTTTTATATTTTTTGAGAGAATTGAAATGTCTTTTTTTGAAAAATTGGTGATTCTCATATTTCAATAGTGAAACACGTAAGAACGATGTTGATTTCTTTTCCTTTTTTTTGTAGTTTTGGCCACCCAATACCCGTCTCCACCTGAAATCCACCCCTCTCTCCACAACCTAGCACACTGAGCGAACCCAGGACCGTTACCTTTCCCCAGAAATCTAGTTTTCTCCCCTTTTTGTGTAAATTTTTTAGGTTTTGGAATCAATTAGAATTGGTTTTGTAGAATCATCCGGTTTGGTAATTCCGGCTAAAAATTACCTTGCGCCTATAGATTTTTGTATTTTTGAGTTTAACTAGATAAAGGGGAAGAAGGGCGAAGGTAATAGGCATTTTTAACCCCCATACGAAAATGTCACGTTACACTGCCAACTTCGGCGCCGCTCGCACTCACACCAGCCTCTCTCCAACTGAATGCGCTTGCGGCGCTTGACATCATTGACATCATTCGTTCGATTCTTTGAAGAAATGTATAAGTGCAGATGAAATATTACCACTCAATAGATGGATTACTTCGGGAGAGATTTATAAGTTAGTTTCGGGGTTTCAGTGGTAAGGTGTATGACCAATAACAGCCGTTGTATTCGTGTGAATTACCAAGGAAATTTACGTTTGTGCAGAATACATTTTCATGTTGATGATTAATTTTTCTGTGCTTTCGTCCAGTGATTGTTTTATGCACCTCTACCCCAAGCATCCTTGAGAATATGGCTTTAAAGAGGAAATAATGGTGAATAGTATTTATCTGGCAGAATTAGCGCTTTATCCTTCATTTGAATTTTTCAGTTTAATTTCCAGTTTGACTTGAATCACACATTTAAGAATTGTCGAGTTTGCGTGCTCTCTATATTTCTGTTCTCTGCGCCCAGCGCTGGATAGTTACTTACCTAATTTGCCTGTTATGCTAATTACGTTATTCATTTTCTGGCAATTATTATGTGGGATAATTTTGCGTTGATAGATGTGGTATTGGTGTAGCGATTGCACCTTGCCGCTATAGTGCGAGTTCATTATTTGTTCTAAAATATTAGTGTATTCATATCATCTGAGTGAGGTTGAATACAGGAATTTCAGGCCGTTCTGGCGAATAGGAATGCAAGGTCAGATACCGATGAGTGAAGGGTAATGTATTCGTATTGTGTTAGTAATTCGAGCAGAGCTGTGCTGCATTACGCCTGGTTTTGATTTTTTTTGGATTTATCAATTATATTCAACTCGGAATTTAGTAGGGATTTATTTAGTGAATGAGGGTAATTATTTATGCCGATTTTGGCGTTCTGACCATGGATTACGTTTTCTGGAATTATTTCCTTTGCGTTTACCGTTTCTTGCTCGGTCAGTTCAGAGGGATTGAAGTTTCGGGAACATTAATTTAATTTTTGACTTTATCACTGTTTGATACCGCATATGGTTTTTTTTCCCCTCCATAATGGACAACACCCAACATAATGAACAACAAAATGTTTTTGTTTTACTTTTTGTGATAATTGGGACTTTATTAGTGTCCTTATTACTGTCATGAAGGTTACTATGGGCTTTGACATGTGCCTGCTTACATTTAGAGTCTTCATTTGTTATCTTCTTTTGGTGCAATATTTTCTATCTCAACCCTTCAGCAACTAATGGGTTGAATAATTAGAATAAATTTATGCACTGATGAAGAGCACTTTGTGTGCTCGAAACGTTGGCAATTAATGGATAAATTGATTTATTTTTTCATTCTATGCTTCGATTATTTTTGGATTAAATTGCTGTGATGACCGTTAATGGCTGAGAAGTTAGAATTTTTTTAATGATGAATGGAAACGGTTGGAATACTCAAGGTGGTTTTTATGGAATATGTGAGCAATGGGCAAGATAAAGATGGATTTTATGGGAGTGACTGAGGGTCTATAAATCAAGAACACCGCATGTTGGCCAAGATAAGTCACTTAAATCACAATAAAAGTTACTATATACACTTTTTAATGATTAAAGTGAAGAACAATAGGTTTTTCGCGGATCAACAAATAAATTGGTAGCGTTGGGCAACTTAATAAGCGCAGAATAAAAAACAATTAAGCTACCAACAAAATAGCGAAAGTTATATGTGGGACATTCTATGTCAACTCAGCCACACCGGATTTTTTTTTGTCGGGGAAAAATCATTGAGTAGGTGCATTTTGAATTACTATATATAGCCAGTGATCATGCAAAATTTCATTGCCCTGCCACTTTTTGTTTCTCAGATAATCATTACGAAACTTGAAATTTTCAAAAAATCATTACTTCTGAATGGAGCATCCGATTTTGAT